GATTCGGCGAGTGCTTTGAAAAATTATCTTAAGATTGACAAATGAACAGAAATTGTATACACATGATTTCTTTCTTTTTTTCCTTTTTCAAGTACGTGGAGAATTTGGAGCCAGGATAAAAAAAAATCTAGTGCCAGGGTCAGGTAATAAAAGCGATAGTGGTAACTCCAGTAAATGAGAGCCGGGCAAACAAATGATTTCTAGTCTGTATCACACCACATGGTTGATATCATGTTTTCTGTAAGGACTGGGCTTCCTTATATTGTATGTAGTTCTTATATTACCAATTCAGTATATTCAAGATTCCGTAAGAACATGAATTGGAGACACCCAGTGTATGAGAACTCTACAAACGTTTCTTATGAACATGATAGCACGTGTATAAACAGTGGTAGTTCAGTTCCTTTTGTAATTCACGTAAACACTGATTTGTCTCAGGTCCCCGGTGTCTCTTTGCACAAGCCATGCAAGACCAGGATCCGCCCTAACCAGCCCAATGAAAAGGCTTAGGAGAGTCAGAAGACTATCTGAACTACTGGACTAATTGGAGAAGTATTTAGGCCCAGGGTGTAACTGATTCGATGGCGATTTATGCTAACGAGAGAGCGAGCCGTGCTAAACGCCATGAAAACCAGGACAGCTTGCTCCAAAAAACGCCCAACCATAGTTGATCTAACCTAACCAGATTTCGACTAATATTCGATCAGTTGTTTGGTGGGAAATTATCGAAATGAATTTTCTCTCCAATTGAGGTCGACTTATTTTCAAGCAGGGGACTTGGAACCCATATTGCAATGTATCAAGTTCACCTCAACAGTAGTGATTGAGGTAGTGATTGAGATTGAGTGTTGGTTAAATTTTTGCAGCCTTGGATGGGTTTGAAGTTTAAGGCCCGTCCACACTACGCCGAAGGAATTTGAAAACGCAGTTTTTTTTTTCTACGGTTAGGCCTACCATCCACACTAGCCGTCACGAAAATAGAGCTTTTCGAAAACGCTCTTCAAACCGGAGGAATTTGAAAACGCCGGTTTTTGGTTTTCGTGTGGACAGAAAACATTTTGAAAACAGAGCTTTTTGAAAACGATGACATGACGATCATCACGATTTCCCTGCCCGAGTTTTTTTTTTCCAAACACAAATCCAAAATGACCCGTGATTGTTGCGTTTTTTAATTCCTCCGGTGTAGTGTGGACGGAAAACATTTGATGCCTTTTCAGAGTGAAAAC